AAATCTCTCGATAAGTCGGTTCTCTCGATAAGTCGGTCCATCATGCATGACCGACTTATCGAGTTTGCCTGTGTATTATGAAAATTTATGAAGGGTTTCATATAGGAAATAATAAAAAAGACTGACAAAATTGTTTGCATCTTCAGAATATGCAAAGACTTTTGTTCCCACAATACAGTTCAACCCTCTCTACAGTCACATCTCCAGTGTATTCATTCTACTTTATTCACTAGCCTGATTATTTTCCTTTATTAGTTGTTCACTTCTGGTTTGTTCTTGCAAAGATAAGAGAGTATTAGTTGTATGTTGTTCAATTAGTTGTAAAGAACTTTTGGTGGGTTGGAGTTTTTGCTTTAATCAGGTGGGGTTGTTATAAGGCATTAGTATTAGATGAGGAGATTAGTGTTACGGTCTGATGGTCTGGGTTTTGGGAGAGCGATTAATCTTTCGCGTAGGGGTGTTCTTCCGACCGGGGGATGCTACCAGATTAGCTTTGTGCTACCGCCATTATTACGGTACTTGTTCAATTAAGACTGAATTCTAATGACCTAATTTAATAATTAAAAATGTACGCTTCCTAACTCCCTATTAGAGCTTCAATCACTCGTAATTCCAAATGAGGGTACGATAGAATAATAACAACAATTATTCTACCGCAGAATCGAAGGGGAATAAAATTTTATTTAATAATTAAATAGGGCTATTTTCGATTTGGTGTTTCGACGTCGGGTATCTGTCACTTGTCTCTAAAATATAACTGATTAAACAATAACCGTTTTCAATAATTAATTATAAGCTCTCGTTTCTCAATTAAGAGTAATATATCAGCGGACAACTTATCCAGCTTAGTAGAGCCGTTTATGGACGTTTACAGCTTGATAGAGCTGTTTATTAGTGTGTCCGGTCAAATAATTAATATTTCAGCGATAAAGAAAATAAAATTTCGATTTCAAAGGGAATCGTTTATTTGATTATTATTTTCGTGGAATGGTGCTGGTACTATTATTATAACAATAACATTTAACAACATGAACAACATGAGAATTCGACGATGGGATAATAATAAGGTCGCTTATATACCTTTAGCGACACTCAAAAATCGAAACGGAGCAAAAAATAATTAAATGATCGTAGTTTCTATGAAGAACTAATCATAGTTACTTTACTAACTAAATTTCACTTTCATTATTCCTCTTCCAATCCGAATCGCTACAAACAGTTTAAATAGAGGATAAAGCCTCTTATAATAATCCGAAAAATTAAAAGTAGATTTAAAGTTTTTATAAACGTGGTTGGATTTTTAATCGGTTTTGGTTAACTTTGGTGTCCAACAACTTATTAAGGATGACAAAGAAGAAGTCAAGTTGATTGGAAAAGAATTAGATTTATCTGAATATCCTAATTTAGAGAAAATAGAGATTGATGGAGCAAATGACCTAGAAAAAAAAATTACGCAAACTTTTGTATGGTATACATCTTCGACGATATATAAAATGAGGGAAATTGAAGCATATACGAGAATTATAAGGTTGAGATGTGCCGATGTCAGTAAAGTCTTCGAAAGAATAAAACCGCGAAATATTATCGACGATTGATAAATCCAAATTATCGGCGCAGAAGGTGACTTGATTTTTAGGTGGACCCTACATCTTCTCGGGCTCTCTCTATTCTACTGGTAAGATGTTTCTTTTCTACCTATGCTTTGTACCTGTTCTAAGTTAGCTAACTGCGTTTGTGCTGACACGAAAAAATCGAACCACTTTCTGCGACTCAAAATTCGACACGGTGCATCTGACACTGAAAATGCGCGACGCCGTACTACCATTCTAAAATTAACGTCGCCAAATTTTTTCAGTTGCGCCACAACTATTCCGAAAAGGTCGATCATGGGATTTTGCTTAACTGCGGAGGAAGATTTTACCATGTTGACTCACTTATCTAGACCGGCTTGCCGTAACATTAGGAAGAAAATAGAAAAATGAAAACATGAACTAGAAAGCAAGCTATGAAGTATTGAAAATGAAATAGCCAAGTTAGAAGATACAAGCAAAGAAGAAAACTCTGTAAATAGCAACCTTAATAGCAAGTAGCAAGGTTAATCTAATGCTATTCTTTGGTGAGTTTGATTTAGTTTTTTTTTTAGAAAGTTTCAACATTTTTTTGATAATGTTTTCACTCTCCCAGGAGGTTTATCAAGACTCTCTCCTCTATTGCATTATCAACAAGCACGTGTGTTGAAGATTGGACAAGATTTTTACCATTATCAACAAACTGTTCATAATAATAGAATTGGTCTTTCTTTGTGTGCAAGGAGTTAATAATGTTTCTTGAATTAGTCCTTTGAACAAATTACAGCCTTAGACCTGGGTTTGCAGCAATCTCATAAAGATCAAATTTGAGATGAAGAAAGGAGAAAGCCCCCCCCACCTTCCCAGCCAGCAATGATAGCAGGGGATTTTAATACCATCTTCTATCCTCATGACCATATCTCCTCAATGACTCACCAGATTAAACCCCTCACTAAATCTTGTCCTTTCCTATCTTGACAATCTCATATGACATGATCATGCAGACTTGGATGGCATGAGCACAGGCTCCATAAACCATTCTGGAAGGGAACTTTTATTGGCTTACCAATCAAACTTTCCATATAAGCATGGCTATTAACTATGTGGTAGACAATGCTACTGTGAACTTCAATATATTAAAAAGCACAGCTCAGGGAAGTTAATATTTTTTGGTGGATGACTGCTGGCAACGATATATGCATTAAGTAGTATTATTATTTAGATATTCCTGGAGAGTTTGGGTATAATTGATTTTAAAAACAAAACATGGAGCAATTTTTTCTCGCTTTTTTTTAAAAATACTTCTAATACTAATGGTACTATGATTCTTTGGTTCCATGGTGGACTTAATGTAAATTAGTTTTATATTTTATTTTTATATAGAGATAGCCCTATATTAATCATGGTATAATTTTTAGGTAGTTACATTTTGGCATAAAAATGCAATCTACATAAATTTGTGAGATCAAAAATGTCATTATAGTCAAATTCTGCCACACCAGTCATTTATACATGTAATAGTAATAAAAATGTTCACTTTGTCGCTGCTACCCTATGTAAAGTGTCTTATACCACCTATGAAGTCTTGGGGATGCTTTACCAGACATGGTTAGTGAGGTTGGATGGAAGAACTACAGCTAATACTAAGGACTATATATCTGCTTTAAGTCATACCTTATGTAAATACTCTTGAGAATAAAGAGAATGCAATTTTTCAAGAGGACAATGCACCCATACATACTAAATAGTAATGATTTGGATTCAGCTGCAGGTAGTGTTACATTACAATGTTAACATCGCCCATTTTTTTACAATTTAGAAACTCAAATTATTTTTCGAAGAAACTTGTAATTTGCGGATTATTTACAGTTTATATGAGTTTTATTCAAGGATTACTTCTCTTCCAATCAAATTAATTAAATACGATATGCACGCTTGAAATCTTCTCGAAGAGCTTATAAATGGTATTACGCGATGGTGAATCATCAACCCACTCATCACCACTCATACTCAGTAAATGTCAAGAATTGCTCAACTGTACGAAATAATGTTTGATTTGTACCATTTCTAACTTCTGGTCGAGAGTCTGAGCAAATACTAGTTCCATTTATATTGAAAGCAAACTAACGTGAATGCGTAAGTGATGCTGATCACGGGAACGCGTGTATAAACATAGTAATAGCAGCTTTATTAATGAAAAGATTCTTCTTTCGTTATGTGCTCGTACATGCTCTAGGGAGATAACTGATTAGTATTTTGTGTGGCGTTATACTTTGATCCTGTTGCTTTTGTCTCTTTATATCATGTATTGCTCGACTCTTTGCATATGCTGAAATTCCTTTAGACTGACGAAAGAGTTGATCCCATAGTAGGATATTCATACAATTAGCAGGAATAAGCACTGTTTAACTTTTTTTTTAAATCATCATCTCTTTGCCTTAAGTAGTCGTGAAGTAATATAATAGAATTTATTGATCACTTTAGTTATGTGTTGAAAATTTGTTTAAACAGTTCTTTCTAGCCATGAGAGTTTTACTAACAATGACAATTGATTCTGGCACCCATATTTGCCAGAAGCTTTTATTATAGCTAAAAGTTATCTTGCAAGATAAGTTCGTCATCCGTTCGTGTATTCCACATGTCAGTTTCCGAACTATCTGTGGGAACCTATGTAATCTGAGATTACAAGAGAAAGACCTACGAAAATCAGAGATGTGAGCCTGTCCGTATATTAAGACAATGCAGTTTATGGATGTTGATTATTGCTAGTATTTGAGTGTTCGGATATGTTTCTCTTCCTATGAGACACTCGTAGGATATTTACGAGGTAGAATGTATTTGATTTATTTGACGAATCGTCAAGTTTCTGGATATGATTACAGAATAATACGGTAAAAATCACAACATGCCACATATTGATTTCGCGTTACCATTCTAATGTCTGTCAATCACACTTCAGTCTTCTCGACTGTCTTCTCCTCATCGTGTGCTTTAAACAGAGCTTTACTCAAGAACCTTGGTTTGGCCCTGAAAACGCAACAAAATAGAATTCAATTACACATCAAAGTCTAAGTAAACGGTCAAGTAATTCCTGACCTTGCATATCTCTTCAATTTCGTCGCTGTCAATTTCTTTGTACATGGCGAAAGCGTGCTATCAGTTGGAGAAGTAGTACTACATGAAATAAGAAGGCATCGGGGAGAGAAGGATGGTTCATTGGTTATCGGATTATATATGATGTTGCTTCATTCAAGTAGTCAGATATGATCATACTTTGATATCGGAACTTTATGAGATGCTGCCAACACTTTACGTGCTTCTTGTAAACGACTAAGTGGTGCATTTCCTTCGATAGTTTTAGGTAGAGTGTTATCTTCTGCCTTGGCCACGTTCGTGAATGCTACTTCTTTCGTTGAATTGCTAAGTTTAGCCGAAAGCGAAGGCTTCTCTACTGATTCTTGGAAAGACATTATGCAAGGTATATGATAAGTAAAGCGTAGAGAAGGTCCTTGGCTTCAATTGTGTTTAATACAAATAATGTAGATGTTTGGTTGTGTCTGACACGTCGACACTGTGGCAATCTTTATTAGTTACACCTTGGACTGACACGTCAATCGAAGCAAAAATGCGCGAATCCTGTGGCCAATAAGAGAACCACACTTACATTAATATTAAAGGGTTAATTGTGTAACGAATATTGGCAAAAGAAATTTCCGATTGGATGAAAGATTAGACAGAAAGATAATTTCGAGCTTATTATTATGCTTGTGAATTTAAATCTTCGATGATAAATGATAAACTCAATATTGATTATAGTTCAAATATGGAGGTTGATTGATCGAAAAAAAAAACAAAACAAAAAAACAAAAAACAAAACAAAAAAAAACAAAAACTAAAAACAAAAAACAAAAAAGCAAAGAAAATCAAAGCTTTAACTTCATAAACGAAGATTGATAAAGATTTCTATGTAATAGATCTAAATGCAATAAGTTGTTTATTCGCGGTTAAGACGATTGTTCTTCAAACATATTCTTGATCATCTCAGTCGAGTAAGACTTTGGCCGTTCTATCGGGAATCCCCTATTAAACCAAAAAAATAAAATTGATCAACAAATGGCAAAAGGTCACGATCACTCTCGCCACATGTAAACATCTCAAGTCCAACTTACAAAGCTCGATCCCAGATTAATTGTGGCATAACACCCAAACATCTCGATACACCAAATAATACAGTGTAAAAGTTTTGCTCAACCAAACCAAAATGTCGTAATACAACCCCAGAATGAGCATCAACGTTCGGCCACGGGTTCTTGGTCTTTCCGTGTTCAGCTAATACTCCAGGTACAATATTATAAAGTTGAGACACGATCCTGAAAAGTGGGTCGTTGGGTAAGTGTCGTAAACAGAACTCTCGCTGGGCCATGTAGCGTGGATCCTGTTAAAAGAGGAAAATTAATACGCGTTTGAGTAAAATATATCAATCAGAATGAGGAAATATCTCGTTTTTATCACTGTCTATTTCTTGTTGGCTCAACCTAACAGAAAAAAACCGTAAACTTACAGTCTTACGAAGGACAGCATGTCCATATCCTGGAACAACTTGACCAGATTTAAGCGTATCCCAGACATACTTCTTTATTGTATCATCAGATGGACTTTCACCGATCT